GGAGCAAAAATTCAGGTGTGTTTAAGAAGTACTGTATAAGTGAAAAATAAAACTAAAAAGATGAAATTAAAATATATTATAAAGATTTCAAAGTGAGGAATCTGGACTTAATTAAATGCACAGCTGCGAACCTGTATGTTATTTTGATGGAAATTGTAACAAGTCTAAGCCTAGGAAAAGTAATCTAGTAGGATGGACATGAAGGGAGAGAGTGAAATCGGCTGAGACAAGCAGGTAGGTATAAAATTACTGGTATTATGGGAATGAAAACAGACGTGTAAGAACCAAAACCACAGACCTGTCAAAAGGTGGCATATATGCCCTGACTGTTGTGGCTCAGTAGTTTGAGCATCAGCCTATGAACTGAAAGGTCACCAGTTCAATTCCTAATCGGGGCACATGCCTGGGTTAGGGGCTAGGTCCCCTGGTTGAGGATGTGTGAGGCAACGGCTTGACGTTTCTTTCGCACATAGATGGCTCTCCCTCTCATTCTCCCTCCTTTCCCCTTTGTAAAAAATCTACAAGAAAATGACAGTAAGAAACAAGTTCACTTAGGAAGAAACATTTCATGAACATGATGCAAACAGCAAATTTTCAAAGAGAACTTAAGCCGAGATGATTATTTAAAGCTGGCATAGATTACACTTTTCAATATCTACCACTTCAAATTAATTCATTTCAAATTAATTACTATGGAATACTTAGTAAGTGCGAGGCACTTATAGGGATGTTGGCTCCTTAGTACTCACATTCATTCTGATTCATGACCAAAATTTTAAAAAATTAAAAGAAAACTAGGGACTTCCGCCAAGATGGAGGCGTAGGTGGATCCACCTTGCTTCCGTGCACAACCAAATCTAAGAACGACTATTTTTAACAATGATAAACACAACCAGACCACACAGAAAATCGACAACACGGAGTCCGAAAAAAAAGGACCAAATGCTCAGCTAAACGGGTGAGCCAGCAGCGAAGCCGGTTGACCAAAAAGATCACTGACCTGGTGGCGCGCAAGCAGCCGAAGGCGCGGATCGCGGGCTAGCTACGGATCGCGGGCTAGCTACGGCAGGCGCAGGCGCAAACAGGGAAGAGGCGCGGCTGGCTGGCTGCGGTAGGTCGCGCATTTGAGTGCAGATAAACCAGTGAAGAGGCGAGCATTGAGACAGCACGGCACGGGGCAACAGGCTCACACAATTCTGCTTGGATAAACAGGCCGGGGCAAGTGGTGGGACGCCACAAACTGGGCTAGCGGAGAGGACCGCCAGTGCTCCCTCTCTGACCCCGCCCCCACACACAGGTCACAAACCAGCGACCTGGGTGGCCCCGCCCTGGTAAACAACTAAGGCTTCACCCCTCTTACTTACTTACCCGTGCAAACAGACCAAAAATGGCTCAAGAACAACTCAGAGCCCCAGAGCCTATAAATCTAAGCAACAAAGAAATAGCAAAACTTTCAGATGCACAGTTCAAAACACTGGTTATCAGGATCCTCACAGAACTGGTTGATTTTAGTCACAAATTAGAGAAACATATGAAAGCTAAACTAATTGAAATGAATGGTAATGCAAAGGATACCAATAGTAATGGAAAGGAGTCTGGGACTCAAATCAATGGAGTGGACCAGAAGAAAGCAAATATTGGCCAAACAGAAAAGAATGAGGAAACAAGAATTCAAAAAAATGAGGAGAGGCTTAGGAACCTCCAGGACATCTTTAAACGTTCCAACATTCGAATTATAGGGGTAACAGAAGGGGAAGGGTCACGAGTGGAAACCTTATTTGAACAAATAATAAAGGAGAACTTCCCCATTCTGCCAAAGGAAATAGACTTCCAGGAAATCCAGGATGCTCAGAGTTCCAAAGAAGTTGGACCCAAGAAGAAACACACCAAGGCACATCATCATTACATTAGCCAAGATTCAAATGAAGGAGAGAATCCTAGAAGCAGCAAGAGATAAGGGGACAGTCACCCACAAAGGAGTTCCCATCAGACAGTCAGCAGATTTCTCAAAAGAGACCTTACAGCCAAGAAGGGGCAGGAAAGAGGTATTCCAAGTCATTGAAAACTAAAGACCTACAACCAAGATTGCTCTACCCAGCAAAGCTTTCATTTAGAATGGAAGGACAGATAAAGTGCTTCTCAGATAAGACCAAATTCAAGGAGTTCATCATCACCAAGCCCTTATTATATGAAATGTTAAAGGGACTTACCTAAGAAAAAGAAGATAAAAAAGATGAACAGTGAAAGGACAGCAAACTCACAGTTATCAACAACCACACCTAAAACAAAAGCAAATTAAGAAGACAGCTGGATCAGGAGTGAATCATAGAAATGAAGATCACGTGGAGGATTAGCAACAGGGGAGTGGGAGAAGGAGAAGGGGGAAGAAGGTACAGAAAGTAAGTAGCATAGACAGTAGATAGAAAATAGATAGGGGGAGGGTAAGAATAGTAGGGGAAATACAGAATCTAAAGAATTTGAGACACCTGTACATGAACTAAAGGGGGAAATGGTGGGGGAGGGGCATGCAGGGTGGAGGGGGGGAATTGCACACATGTAATGGCATAATCAATAAAAAAGTTAACATTAAAAAAAATTAAAAGAAAACTAAACATGTATGTAATATGGAAATAGGTTTTAGTGAACTAAGCCAAGACTGATTTAAAAATCTACTACTCCATAAACATACATCAAACATGAGCTAAAGTTAATACTCTACAAAGCTCCATATACTAGCTAAGACGACTCCAGAAACCTCAAGAGATTTTTTAAATAACCTATACATACTTCTTTGATGATAAAAAGGGCCAATGAGCTTCTATGCAGCAAGAAATTCAAACACCAGTTACTGGTTTTTAAAATAAGTACACTAAGATACAAATTCTGTGGCAGAGCAATCTTACTTCAGGGACAGACAATTCTACCATTCCTAAGACCAGACTATGTAGCTAACATTCCTGTAAGCTTTTTGAACATCCCTATAAACAGGAAAAGAAAAGAATGAAGCTGCCCACTAAAATGTTAACAGTAGTTATCTCTGGAAGGTGAGAATGTGAGGGTTTTTCTTTTTACCTCCTTCTTATATATTTCCCACAATATATTGTTGAATAAGAAAAAGCCAAAAATACTTAAAACTTTCTATTGAAGTTACTACATTCTGAATGCTAAGGAACTCACAGTGAATGAGAATTGTTAAAAGAATTTTAAGCACTGAATTGACATTGCATGACCAAATCCTTGAAGAAACCCGGGGTACTACAGCCTAGACTTGAAAGGCCTTTGAAAACACTTCAAGTACATGACTGGATTATCATAAACAAGCAATTACATACTAATTCTTCATTATTTGGGGGAAATCTGGACCCTGAGTTGAAGATATAAGTAATCAGATTTTGAATTAAAATAAGACATCTAAAAATGGAAGGTCTCCTAGCTGGTGTAGATCAGTGGATTGAGCGCAGGCTGTGAATCAAAGGGTCGCCAGTTCAAGTCCCAGTCAGGGCACATGCCTGGGTTGCAGGCCAGGCCCCAAGTATTGGGTGTGCAAGAGGCAACCAACCACACATTGATGTTTCTCTCCCTCTCTTTCTCCCCTTTCCCCACTGTCTAAAAGTAAGTAAATAAAAAAAATAATAATAATAATAAAAAATGTAAGGTCTATCAAATCATGAGCTCCTCCTTAATAGATGACTTAGCTATCAATGGTAGTTTAGCAAAACAGATGTTCGAGTCAAAGGCATTGTTACATAGTAGGTTGGGGGTCACAGACCTGAAACTGAGTCCCAGCTCCAACATTTAGTACCTGTCATTTACTTGAGTGTGTCGTGTAACCTTTGAACCTCAGCTTTCTCATAGATCAAGTGAAGACAACACCTACCCTACAGAATTATTGTAATGATTAACACTAATGCCTAAGCCTGACACACAGCAGATTCTCAAAACACAGGTTATATGTTACATACTCACTCCTACTCAGTGATTCAATGGTTAGGATTAAAAGCAGTAATATGATTTAACTAGTCTAGTAGGATAAGATAACAGAAACAAAAAGTATTACAAGTAGAAAATTAGTCTTTCCTTATCTGTATACCAAGTGGTAACACTTAGCAAGCTATCCCACCCCCTCCCCAAATCCAGATGGCAACTGCTGCTCTGCCCAGGCCAAGGACATGAACACAGGGAGAGATCACAAGAGGAGTAGAATACCGAAGATAGAAAGGCAACACAGAGAACACCTGGGCCCAAAACTGAAAATCCATGCTGCTGCTTTTATACAGGTAAAGAAATTTCAACAAAAGAAGAAATAAATGTACCAGAAATGTTAGGATCTCTAATTATAAAACAATCTTCCTTATTCACAAAAGATTTAACTACCTAAAAGTTAGAAATGTAATTTTTCTAAGTGTTGACTGAAAGTACACATTTTACCTCCTAACCTAAAGCTTTTTAAGAACAGGCTAAGTCGGATACTGGGATACTACTGTAAAACTTCAGGATCATCAAGCACTGTCATGTGCATTGGTCCTGAACTAAGAGGTATATTTAATCCCATTACATGAATCCAAAAAAGTATTATAAAATCAGAGATCCTGCCGGGAATATTCTGTGCTTTTCCTACTCATCTGCTTATTCTCAAGCATTCAGGAAAGAATAAATCCAACCACTTACAACAAAGACAACCACCAGATACATAAAGAAAAATAAGGAAAAAGAATGGACCACCATAAAGGCAGGGACTTTTGCCTAGACTGTTCTCTGTTATCTCTACAGCACAAAGTAGTTGCTCACTAAATACTAACAGAATAAATTATTCTTTGAAGAAATAATTTTGGGCAACCAAAACAAAATTATTTTCAATGTTGATGCTTTCTTAAGGCTTGGAAAAGTCCTGTTATTTTACATTTTTACCAACTACTCTTATGGAAGAATACCTCAAAAAAAGAAAGAAAGAAAGAAAGAAAGAAAAGAATTATTTCTTTTACATTGTAAGATATATTGCCCTAATTGAGCCAAAAACTGACAGCCTTGGAAAAAACTTTATATAAAACACTGTTTCAATAAAATTTTATTAGCAGTTTTTATGTCAAAATTCACATTTAAAGATCCAAAGGACTGTCTTAGAAAATTCTAAAGCATATGTAGATAGAATTTAACAGTAAGATAGAACATATCCTTATTATAGTACAGCCCTTAAAAAGTCAGGAATAATACTGAGAATTAAGTACAGTTCTGTCAACTAGAAATGAATTCTGCGTGCACAGTGCCACTGAAAGCAAAGTTCCATGAAAGTGTAACACATTTCTATGGATGTGAATCTCGGTGGCAACATTACTGGCTTCCAAACAACTGACACTAAAGGAATTTTCAATCAAAACACAGCACAGTGGCTTTCATTAAACATCGAACTACGACAATTCTATAAAGAGACCCTGAACCCTTAAGTATTTGTAATGTGACTTTATGCTGTGACACTAGTACAAAACCCATCAACTCTAATGCATAGATTTGGACACATGATGACAAGAGGATCTAAATATAGCCTTTTTCTATCAGAAAATGCTGAGTTTTCCAGTGCAGTATAGGCTGGTCATTGCTGATCTAGTGAAATTCTACAACCTCCAGCTTGAGCAGTATTGTAGGATTCACAAATATTACACTTCATGCCTAATATATGGAACTGGACTGTCGATCTTCCGTTGCAATCATTGCAGAGAATCTAAAAAGTGAAGAGATGAATTCAAATTAAGTATATTAAACCTTATAAAGTGACATTGTCTGCTCAAAAACAATTCCTCAAAAATCATACTGAAGATGTGAAAATACATATATATGTCTCAACATTTGCATAAGTAGAAATTCCCTTTTTTTTGCTGTTGTTCACTGAAAGCTCTGAGGCTACTTGGAATTCAGAGAATGAACATGTGGACTTGTGCCAAGAAGTCCAATTTAAAATAGCTCCCAAGTAGTATATAAATAGTACTAGCATGAAAATTAACATAGGCATAATCAGATCATCATCTATATAGATGCTCTGAGACTTATAATGGGGTTACATCCTCATAAACCCACGATAAGTTAATATTGTAAGTCGAAAATGCATTTAATACACCTAACCTACTGGACACCATGGCTTAGCCTAGGCATTTTCTACTGAGCGTGTATTGCTTTTGCACCACCGTAAAGTTGAAAAACCATTAAGTCAAACCATCATAAGTCCAAACCATCTGTATTTACAATTCAAAATAACACGCAAGTTTTTATTATTTTCATTGACACTTAGAAAATTATGTTAGTTAATAAAACAAATGTTTACATACTTATAACATTTTTGCTTATTCCTTAAGGTTTTTTTGTTTGTTTTGTTTTTGCAGTGAAGAAATTAGAGTCACTTTATTGCTAGAAGCACACAAGGAGAATGGGAAAGCTATTGCTCAACAAAAGCCCAAACTCCTCGATGGCTCACATCAGAGGGTTTTAAGGAATCAGGGAGAACAAGTATGCAGAAACACTAACAGGGCAAGTTTTAATGGGAGAAACTTGGAACTTGGCCATTTATGGTAAGGGACTTCAGCACCAGGTCTTCCTGGACAGGAAACCTGCACTTCTTATTCTTTAGGTTTAATACCCAAAATTCCTAGTCTTCTATGTCTCAGGAATGCATTAAAGTTCAAAAGTAGTTCTTAAAATTGAATAAAGAGAAGCTTTTGGCTCATCCCTAAAATGCCAATAAGATGGTACTTTCAGAATTAATCTTTTCTAATAGTGAGATTCTGAAAAATAAAAAAGGTGTTCACCTGACAACTGATGAATGTAATGTGAGAAAAGCATTAGCTTTAGAATAGTCACAACTTAGTAAGTAGAAAACTTTCAAATTTACTAAATTACAATTTGGAAATAATTCTCTGAAGAATGCAATCTAAACGTACAGAATGGATGAGTGGTTGCCCAGGGCTAGTGAACTGGGGAATGGCACTAGTGGGTACAGGGTTTCTTTCCGGAGTGATGAAAATATTCTAAAATTGAAGGTGATAATGTCAGTACAACTCTAAGAATATACTAAAAGCACTGAATTGTACTCTTTAAACGGGTGAGTTGTGGCCTGGCTGGTGTAGCTCAGTGGATTGAGAGCAGGCCTGGGAACCAAACAACTGCGGTTCGATTCCCAGTCAGGGCACATGCCTGGGTTGCAGGCCAGTTCCCAGCAGGGGACACATGAGAGGCAACCACACATTGATATTTCTCTCCCTCTCCCCTCCCATTCCCCTCTAAAGATAAATAAATAAAATCTTTTAAAAAAAGGGTAAGTTGTGTAGTATGTGAATTACATCCATTGGAGCTGTTATTTTAAAATGTCATCTACATGGAACACAGCACACTGCAGCCTCTAGAAAAACATTCCATGATGATCAGTTAGTAATCCACAGGCGGGCACTGATCTTACTAATCAGTCAATATCCACATGAATTATAAAGTGCTCAGGTGTGAATAAAACAAAAAAGTAATTTTATTTGGATTTTTTTAAGTGGTTCTGGCCCTTTTATGTGTAACTATCTGAATTAAACTGATGGGTGTTTAGAAAATTTAGATGCCCCAAAATTATCAAAGCACCAGAAAGCTATCTAGTGTTCTAATTCTGTTCTGTAATTCAATATACTATGCTGAGAATAGATAGCAGCACATCTCAAGAAAAACTTATCTCCATAGGGCAAAAGGCATAGAAAAACTTCTATATTTTATGTTGCAGCCTAATAAGACCAAATTTAAAAAGTCTAAGATAGAATGAATAGGGTAATAAATATTTAATACCAAAAGCAATCTTCAAAAATCAGCAAACATGTTTGTGTGAAGTAAATTCAAAATACTGAAAATGAAACAACAAAACAGTAATTCACTTCTACTCACTTATATTACTGACTGTTTCTGGCAAGTAAAGAGTAAATAATTCAGAGTAGTAAAGTTTGTGCCTGCCATCTAGTGTTGGGAAGAACTGCACAAAAGTATTCATAGAACTATTTTTTCCTGGTGTTTTAAGTTCAAAGTAACTAAAACTTAAAGATTAGTTTGTCCATCTTCCCATTAATCATCACATTACCATCTATGCCAAAGCAGTATTTTTTAGACAGATTTGATCAAAAGGGCAAAAATAAACAAGAATATCAACAAGGAATTTGAAAAGTTTCCACTCACATCTACAGTCATGTTCTGATATTCTGATGGCATAGGAGTCTGTGCTACCTCATCATCCAGCTGTCTCCAGTACCTAGTCATATCTACAGCAGAATGCATACATAATGGACATCTGTAGCCTCTAGAAGAGATAGAACGGTTATTTTCCAAACATGAAACTCAGGTATACAAGATACACGCTAACTGTACACCATCCAAGACAGAACTTTTACACTATAAAAGATTTCAATTAAATCCTGGCATTTTAAAAATGTATTTCTTTTTTCTCAGTTCTCTAAAATGCAAAAGAATTAGTCCATAGTCTTTGTAGAATACACTTTATATTTAAAATCAATTAAGCTGCTTTTTAGTTAAACAACTTCAATTTCTAAATATGTTCAAGTATAGAAGACACTAGTCTTTCAAATTTATTCAGCTATTATTTATTAAAAATTCTGAAAAAGTTTCCTTCTATCTGGTTATTATAAATCACAACTTCTGCTCATCAATTTGCTGGGCCAAAATACATTTTACACTGTCTGCTTTCCTAACTCTTTTTATCTCAATTTAACACCCTTCCCTCACAGTAAGTCTCAGCTGTAGAAAATCTCATCTTTAGCTTTCTCTGCAGGTCATTATGCTGGGCAAACATAATGATTTAACAGAATTTTGAGCAAAATGCCTCAGCATTTTTACTAAGACATGACTGCTTCTAGCAGAGACTGTGATCCCTGGTGAATACAGCCAGAAAATCAGGAGGTATCTGGCTCAGTCTGCAGGATTAGACAACATGGGTACAAAGACGTCACCTGCATCCCCCAAGATGGTTTGCCCAGTTCAACACTACTCATTGACCCTACCCATCTGAGATAAATATGTGCCATTCCCAAATATGCTAACAGCAAATTTAAAAAAAGAAGACATCTTACAATTATAACATTTTAAAATTCCAAATACTCACTCTTTCAACATTTCTTCATAACATGTTCTGAAAAAAAAAACAACAACCATTATTTCAGCAAAGGAAAAATTATCTCCACTATTTTCAAACATTTTGGAGAAAAAACAACCGAAGTTATTTTACCTATGTAAAAGATGTCCACATGGCAAGACATGAGCCACAACACGAGAGGTATGAATGTCCTATTAAAAAAAGAATAAATTTCAGTGCTTACATGAAGACAATAGAAACAGTCAAATATTTTAAATTCAAGAGGGGATATTTCCAAAGCAAAAAATATTCTAAGCTTACCTCCAAACATATTGGACAGTTCTGCCGAGAAACATTTTCAATACACTGTTTAAAAGAAAAACTCACATTACCAAAAGTTTAATCAGATGTAAATAACAGATAAAACAATGTTATTAATAATAAAAACTAACAAATAAAGGAAATAATATCAATTTACTAAAGATGATTAACATGTAACATGTTTCCTGTGTCAGTCAAGAACAATTTAACTCTCACAACTAACTCAGACTTGGCATATTACCTGAAACAATGAAATTGCTCAATCCATCTTAATTATTCATTATATTCATTTTACAGATAAGGAAACTCAGTAAATCAAGACTTATCAAAATTGCAGAGATAATAACATTTGGAACCTTTCTATTTTATATGTGTTTTACTCTAAAATTAAATTACTTAATAATAACAGTTCATATTATTGAGATTTTACTACATGCCATATGCTAAGTTCATTACCTATACTAGCTTAATTCTCACAATTCTCAATGAAATAGGTATAATTATTATCCTGTTTTACAGATGAGTACCTGAGGCCTAGAGAAGCTAAATAACTTCTAAAATTACATGCTTATAAGAGATGGAACTATATTTGAGCTCCAACAGGATACCTCTAGGGTCTGAGTTTTTAACTTGACCAGACAGTGTCTGATTAGAAGATGTGGGGAGGTATGAGAAAGTACCAAACCACGGATGATGTCCAGGTTTTTAAAGTCAGCACTAGAGTAGACAGATGGTAGGGCCACTTACCAATACAGACAATAAAAGAACAAAACAAAACAAAAATATCATGAGAGAAGTGTACATAATTTTTGAAGGACAGCATAGCATATTTTGCTATGACCCCAAACTTAAGTCTATACAACCAAACTCAAAACCCTTTTACCTAAAAGAAATTCACAATCTACTAAATAACTACCATAAGCCAGGGCTAAAAACCTTGAAAGTCATGCTTACTCAGCCCCCTTCTTCCATCACACCTTGTCATCGTATCCCACATAGTCATTATTCCGTTCATTTCTCTTACCACTTTACTATTTTAGTTCAGTCATTATCTGCTCTCTATTTTAAAAACCCTCACTAGTTTCTCCATTCTCTAAACTCTTGTATTAGACTACAAATATTTTTTCCCAAATAATTAAAAGTAATTTTAAAGGTTCTGGGATCATGATATAATTACTACATCCAGATTAAAAATATTTGTCTAATTACAAAAGAAAATATAAAAATATTTTACGAATTTTCTTGGAGTGCTGTTTGCTAACAGGTCACATTACTCCATGTTTCTCCTGTACTATGCATTTTAAAAGCTATTCTTAAAACTAGAACCAATGATAAAAATCTGTGACTCAATTTAGACGTTGTCAACAATATACTAAAAACTGATATAATTATTCTTACCTACTAAAAAAAGGAATAGCTCAGATATTCTGAGGCATATAGTTCAGAACATCTACTACTTAGCACTGCTTAGAAGTGAAAAGCACCATAGTTGTATCTGGTAATATTGAAAACATTAAGACTCATAGATGGAGAGCAGAATGACAGCTGGGAGGGAAGAGGAGAGATGGAGGGATTGAGCAGAAAAGGAAAAAGGGTCCTGGCTGGTGTAGCTCAGTGGATTGAGCATGGGCCTGTGAACCAGACAATAGCGGTTCCGTTCCCAGTTAGGGCACGTGCCTGGGTTGCAGGCCAGTTCCCAGCAGGGGACGCACGAAAGGCAACCATACATTGATGTTTCTCTCCCTCTCTCCTTCCCTTCCCCTCTAAAGATAAATAAATAAATAAATCAAAAAAAAAAAAAGAAAAGGAAAAAGGACTCATGGACATGGACCACAGCATGGTGATTGCTGGGGGAAGGGGGTATAAGGGAACTAAATGTAATGGAAAAAAATACTATAAAGATTAAATCTAAATAAAAAGAAAAGATTCTTCCAAACATATTAAGATTTATGCCGGTTTTGAAAAACATTCTTAATACTTTAAAAATTATGCAAACTAATACCTTGTGCTTTCCTTGGAGATTCATAGCTAGACATAAGTTACATTTCAAACAGTGGAAAAAATCTTCCTTTGGACCAATCCTAAAAAGGAACATGTGAAAGCCAAAAGATTAGATTTAGTTTTTTTTAATATATTTTATTGATTATGCTATTACAGTTGCCCCAAGTTTTCCCCCTTTGCTCCTCTCCACTCCCTTTGGCATTCTCCCCCTTAGTTCATGTCTATGGGCCATGTGTATAAATTCTTTGGCTACTCCACTTTCTATACTGTTCTTAACATCCCCGTCTATTTTGTACCTACCAATTTGTGCTTCTTAATCCCGAACCTTTCCCCCATCCTCCCCCTCTCCCCTCCCAAATTATAGGTTACCCTCCAAAGATCTCCATATCTATGATTCTGTTTCTGTTCTAGTGTTTGCCTAGTGTTTTCCTGATTAAATCATTGATAGTTGTGAATTTATTGTCATTTTAATGCTGTAGTTTTAGTTTTAAGTTTTAGTTTTACTCTACATCTTCTTTTTCTTAAATAAGTCCCTTTAACATTTCATATAATAATGGCTTGGTGATGACAAACTCCTTTAGCTTTACTTAACTAGAAAGCACTTTATCTGCCCTTCAATTCTGAGTGATAGCTTTGCTGGAAAGAGTAACCTAGGTTGTAGGTCCTTACTTTTCATCACTTTGAATACTTCCTGCCAGTCCCTTTTTCCCTGCAAAGTTTCTGTTGGAAAATCAGATGACAGTCTTATGGGAGCTCAACTACAGGTAACTATCTGCTTTTGTCTGGCTGCTTTTAAGACTCTATCTTTAACCTTTGGCATTTTAATTATGTGTCTCAGTGAGGTCTTGTGTGTCCATCTTGTTTGGGACTCTGTGTGCTTCCTGGGCTTGTATTTTCTTCACCAAATTAGGGAAGTTTTCTTTCATTATTTTCTCACGTAAGTTTTCAATTTCTTTCTCTTTCTCTTCTCCTCTGTCACCCCTGTGATTTGAATGTTGGTACACTGAAGTTGTCCCAGAGGCTCCTTACCCTATCCTTGTTTTTTTAAATTATTTTTTTTCTTGCTGTCCTGATTGAACTTTTTTTATTCCTTGTGTTCCAAATCATTGATTTGATTCCTAGCTTCATTCACTCCATTGCTGATTCCCTGTAAATTGTTCTTTATTTCACTTAGTGTAACCTTCATTTCTGCCTGGGTCTTTTTTGTGCTGTTGAAGTATACAGTAAGTTCCTTCATCATCTTTTGAACTCTGTATCTAAAAGATTGCTAATCTCCATTTCATTTAGTTCTTTTTCTGGAGTTTTCATCTGTTCTTTCACTTGGGCCAGTTTTGTTTTTTGTTTTTTGTCTCCATATTTTAGCAGCCTCCCTCTGTTTCTGTGTATAACGTACAGCTGTTCTGACTCCCTGTCTTAGTAATGTAGCCTAATGTAGAAAAGCATACCATAAATTGGATGGGGTGAAGTCTTAGGTAATCACCTGGGTGGGGCAACCCGTGGGAAGCAGGTTGACGAAGGCAAAGATGCAGTGTCGCCACTCTGTGGCTCTGTGTAGAAGAGGGCTCAGAAAAGGAACAATGGCTGCTGCTGGCCTTTGGAGTTTTGTCTGGGAGGAAGCTGTCCCCCAGCACCCCCCCGATACCAGACAATTCAGTTTCTCTCAATATGCCACTGGTGCCCTTCAAGCTGCTGCCCTGGTGCTGGAGCCCAAAGGGAGTGAGTCTACGTAAGTCCACTGGGGACCCTTTAAGAGGAGACACCTGAGAATCCTAGTTTCTTCCACTGCCCCAAACCCCACTGATTTTTACAGCCAGAAGTTATGGGGACTTATCTTATTGGCCATAGAACCCAGGACTGGGTCGTCTGGTGTGGAGCTGGGATCCCTTGCTCATGAGCTATCCCTCCTGACTTTTATCTACCATAGGTGGGGGGTGGGGCTGCCTGTTCCACACCTCCACCCCTCCTGCCCATCTGAATGAATGTTACTTCTTTTAATTCCTTGGTTGTTGGACTTCCACACAGATCAATTCTTCTGACAATTCTCAGTGATAGTTGTTTTATACTTTAGTTATAATTTTTGCTGTGGTTGTACAAGGAGGTGAGCCATGTTTAACTACACTTCTGCCTTGATTGGTAGTCCTACAGATTTGATTTTTACTACATTGATAATTTGTTCATACTAACACACAGACAACAGTATTTTAGACTGGGCTTTCTCCCAGTCTAAAATACTGGGACAATTTAGACTAGGCACAATTAACTATTGGGGCCAGATAATTCTTTTTGGTGGAAAACTATCTTGTGCACTATAGGATATTTAGCAGCATCTCTGGCTTATACCAAGTACATGGGAATGGCAGAATATCTCCCCTCCTGGCCCAGCTATAACAACCAAAAATGTCTCCAGATATTGGTAAATATGCCCTGGACAGGGAGAAGGGTGCAAAATCATCCATGTTTGAAAACCATTGTTTAGACTCTAATAACAATGGTGAAAATAACCACATACGCGATAAATCAGGTTATGGTTTTCAGATGAATGGTCTCACTCAAAAAAATGAATGGATAGTATATTTCTAAAGACGAAAAGAAATACAGTATCCTCATCTGGTTATTCAACAGAAAAAACTTCAATTCACTGTATTTACTAAAAGAACCTGGACCACCCCATTTTGGTCCAGGCTTTAAGTTAAGACCACTAAGGGACCATGTCCCAGGAGCCTGAGTACAAGGGGAAACAATAGAACAGGATTTAGAAAAACTCAGCCTCTAATTATCTCTATCCATAGTTGGATTAAGGTGGTCTATCTCTGTATTAATTGCCCACCAAAAGAAAAGTGAATTGTCTTTGCAAAATAATAGTATCCAGAAGTTATATAATTTTTTACATACCATGCCCAACTAAAACAAGTATCAAGCATACCAAAAAGCAGAACCAAAGAATCAAGCACCAAGGGAGAAAAAAATAAAAAACAGAACCAACCCACAAGTAACCAAGATATTGGAGTTATCAGATACAGCCTTTAAATTATATGCAATTATTTCCGGCCAACAGGGAGGCGTAGGTGGAAACACTGTGCCTTTTCGCACAACCAAGTTTAAAGACAACAAAGTTTTAGTAACAAAAACGCAACCAAAACACAGAAAATTGAACTACACGGAAGTCCAACAACTACAAACCGTTCAGCTAGACCACTAAGACGGGTAGAGCCAGTGACTGTCGGAGCAGGGTTGTGCAGAAAAACTCGGCCAGACCGACCCAGGCGCAGAGGCAGCAGTTGGCAGATCCCAGGTGTGGGGTTGCGACAGGCAGACCCAGTGAGGGTGCAAGGCGGCAGGCTGACCGCAGTCACACATTCGTGCACAGACGAACCAGGCGAAGGAATGAGCACTGAGACGGACCACGCAGGTGCCGGTGGTGGGAAGCAGCAGAGGGGACCGCCATTGCCCCTCTTTCACCCCACCCCCACATACAGCATCACAACCCAGACACTGGGTCTCCCCACCCTAGTGAACACCTAGGGCTCTGACCCTCATATGTCACAGGCATGAACAGACCAAAACATTATGGCTCAAGAACATCTCAAAGCCCCAGAGCCAATAATTCTAAGAGCCCTAGAAATAGCCAACCTATCAGATGCACAGTTCGAAACACTAGTGATCAGGATGCTCACAGAACTGATTGATTTTAGTCACACATTAGAGAAACAAATGAAGGCTAAACTAATTGAAATGAAGGGAAATGCACAGGAAACCAATAGTGATGGAAAGGAAACTGGGACTCAAATCAAGGGAGTGGACCAGAAAGAGAAAAAAAAATGACCAAACAGAAAAGGATGAAAAAACAAGAATTCAAAAAAAGGAGGAGAGCCTTAGGAACCTTCAGGACATCTTTAAACGTTCCAACACCCAAATTATAGGGGTACCAGAAGGGGAAGAAGAACAGCCACTAGTGGAAAACTTATCTGAATAATAAAAGAAGAACTTCCCCAATCTGGCAAAGGAAATAGACTTCCAGGAAATCCAGGAAGCTCAGAGAGTCCCAAAGAAGTTGGACCCAAGAAGGAACACACCAAGGCACATCATCATTATATTAGCCAAGATTAAAATGAAAGAGAGAATCCTAGAAGCAGCAAGAGATAAGGGGACAGTCACCTACAAAGGGGACAGTCTGAAGGGAGCTTGGTGGAGCTTCCATCAGACTATCAGCGGATTTCTCAAAAGAGACCTTACAAGCAAGAAGGGGCTGGAAAGAAGTATTCCAAGTCATGAAAGGCAAGGACCTATCCTTGCCATCCAAGATTGTTCTATCCAGCAAAGCTTTCATTTAGAATGAAGGGGCAGATAAAGTGCTTCTCAGATAAGATCAAATTCAAGGAGTTCATCATCACCAAGCCCTTATTATATGAAATGTTAAAAGGACTTATCTAAGATAAAAAATATGAACAGTAAAAAGACAGCAAACTCACAGTTATTAATAACAACATCTAAAATAAACGCAAACTAAGCTAACAACTAGAACAGGAACAGAACCACAGAAATGGAGATCACATAAAGGGTTAGCAACAGGGGAGTGGGAGGAGGAGGGGAGGTAAAAAGGTACAGAGAATAAGTAGCATAGACAGTAGGTAGAAAATAGACAGGGGGAGGGCAAGAATAGTATGGCAAATGTAGAAGCTAAAGAATTTATGACACATGGACATGAACTATAGGGGGGGATGTGGGTGGGAGGGGGTGTGCAAAGGTGGAGGGAAATGAAGAGGAGGAAATGGGATAACTGTGATAGCATAATCAATAAAATATATTAAAAAAGAATAAAATCAGCAATTTGGAATATAAAGAAGCAAAAAAAAAAAAAAATACCCAATCAGAAAAGCAAAAAGAGCCCTGGCTCATGGGGCTCAGTGGATTGCGTGCCAGCCTGTGAACCAAAGGGTCACCGGTTCCAGTCCATCAGGGCACATGCCTAGGCTACAGGCCAGGTCCCAGTTGGAGGCGCTCAAAAAGCAACTGCATATGGATATATCTCTCCCCTTTCTCCCTTCCTTCCCCACTCCCTATAAACAAATAAACAAATAAATATTTTTTAAAAAGATAAAAGAATCCAGAAAAGGAAGCTAGTGTAAGGAATCTCTGGGACAACCCATGTGTACCAAAACTCACATCATGGGGGTGCCAGAAGAAGAGAGAGGAAGAAATTAAAAACCTATTTAAAAACATAATGACAGGGGGGAAGTAGTGACAGGAAAACAGAGACAACTATATGTAAACATCGATAAAAGTAAAATAATAAAAAATAAATAATGACAGAAAATTTTCCTAACTTAGTGAAGAAACAGATATGCAGGTCCAAGAAGTGCAGAGTCCCAAACAAGAAACAAGATGAACCCAAAGAGATCCTTACTAAGACACATTATAATCAAAATACAAAAGGTTCAAGACAGGGGGAATCCTAAAAGCAGTAACAGAAAAGCAGTTGTTACCCACAGAGGAGCTCCCATAAGTCAGGTGATTCCTCAACAGAAACTTTGCAGGCCAGAAGAGATTGGCAAGAAATAATCGAAGTGACCTACAACCAAGATTACTCAGCAAAGCTATCATTTAGAATCCAAGGATATATAAAGAGCTTCCCAGACAAGGAAAAGTTGAAGGAGTTCATCATCACAAAACCAGCATTACATGAAATGTGGAAGAGTCTCTTTAAGAAGAAGAAAACAAAGATAAAAAAATCAGATGGCAATAAATACATACCTATCAACAAATGAATCTAAAAAAACAAAATAAATGAAGCAGAACAAAAATAGATTCCTAGATAGAGAACATTTTTCAGTCACCAGATAGAAGGACAGCTGGGGGCCCGGGTGAAAAGGTAATGGGGTTAAATAGTATGAATTGGTCGTTACAGAATAATCATGGGGACTGTATTTTGCAGCATAGAAAATACAGTCAATATTCTAATAACTATGTACAGTGTCAGACTGTTACTAGATTTATAGGGATAATCACTTAGTAAGTTACATAATGTCTAATCACTGGGTACACTTAAAACTAATGTAATATTGTATATCAACTTTAAAAATAAAAAATGATTTAAATTAAAAAAGCAAAAAGATGCAGAAAGAATAAAAAGCAATTGAAACAATATATAGATAAATATAAGAGTACTGACTGTTCAAAACAATGTCTTATAGACTTTAAAATATACACAGATTAAAGTACATGACAACAATAGCACATAAATCCTCTTAGTATTTAAGATTCTTGCAATGTCCAGGAAATGATAAACATATTACATGAGTAAGCCAAGGATGTATAATTTCTAAAATTAAACACTGAGATTAATGGAAGAATGTGTAACTAATAAGTTTACAAAGAATATAAAAGGCTGATTAATCCAAGAGAAGGTAAGAAAGGAGAAAAAAAAGACAAATATGCAGATACTTTGGCAACAGAAAACACTAAAATTGTCAACTGAAATAAGTATAATTATATTAATAAATGGACTAAATAGCTTAACTAAAAAATCGGTCTTTATCAAAAAGTCAATAAACACAAAATTCTATTATATTCTGCTTACAAGATATAAAGCTTAAATATAAATATACAAAATGTTTGAAAATAAAAAATGAAAAAGCATATACAAGCAAAAACTAATCAAAAGATACCTGATATAGATACACTGTATCTTAAGGCAGAAAACATTACTAAAGATAAAACCAGACACATAATAAATAGGCCAACCATAAAGGAAAATATAGCAAGTCTATGTAAGCACCCAATAATATTGTCTTAAAATATACAAAATAAAACACAAAAGAACGTGTACAAAAAGTCAGAGGAGAGTGATTACCTTGGGGAAATGTAATGTCTTAGGGCAAAAAGAAGTCTACTAAAGTATTATGAATATTCTTATCTTTTAATCTGGGTGGTGGTTAAAAGTATGTTCATAATCAAACTCATAATGCTATTTATGATTTCTGCATCATCCAGTATGTTTGTTATCTTTCCTTATAAACAAACTATAAAACAAAAGCAAGAAAGTCATTTAAAATATTCAAAACAGTCATTATCTCCAATGGGAATATAGAGAAAGGGTTGACATAGAACACTAGGAATATCAACAATATTAGTAACATTCTATTTTGTTTTTTATTTTTAGAGAGAGGGGAAGGGAAGGAGAGAGGGAGAGAAACATCAATGTGTGGTTGCCTCTCATGTGTCCCCCACTGGGGATCTAACCTGCAACCCAGGCATGTGCCCCGACCGGGAATTGAACCAGGAACCCCGTGCTTTGCACGCCCGAGCTCAATCTACTGAGCTACACCAGCCAGGGCGTAACATTCTATTTCTTAAACTGAGTGGTTTTGTTTATTACTATACTTCAAAACACACACACACACACACACACACACACACACACACACACACATATATATATATATATATATATATATATATATATCTCACATATATGCTTTTGTGTAATTCTAATATATACTTCAGGATTTTTTAGAAAGAAAAAAATTCCTATATACCAACATGTCAATAGTAGCTTGTCAATGAGTGGTTGGACTGTAAGCTCTTTTTTCTTCTACTTTTTCTATATTTTCTGATTTTTATCAAAACTTTTCAGACTTCCGCCAAGATGGAGGCATAGGTGGAAGCACTGAGCCTTTTCGCACAACTAAGTTTAAAAACAACAAAGTCTTAGCAACAAAAACGCAACCAAACCACAGAAAATTGAACTATACAGAAGTCTGACAACAACAAACCCTTCAGCCAAACTGGTAAGAGGGGCAGAGCCAGCAGCAGAGCGGGGTTGGGCAGGAAAGATCCACCACACCGACCCGGGCGAGCAACCCAGGCACACTGGCAGCCATGGGCGGATCCCAGGTGTAGAGAAGCGGGCAGACCCACTGAGGGTACAAGGTGTTGAACCCACTGAGAACTGATCACAGTCACACATTCGCGTGCAGATAAACCGGTGAAGGAGCCAGCGGTGAGATGGACCACGCAGGCCCCAGTGGTGGAAAGTGGCAGAGGGGACCGCCATTGTCCCTCTCTGACCTCGCCCCCACATACAGCGTCACAAACCTGAGACCTGGGTGGCCCTGCCCTGGTGAATATCTAAGGCTCCACTCCTCATACGTAACAGGCACAAACAGATCAAAACATGGCTCAAGAACAACTCAGAGCCCCAGAGCCAATAAATCTAAGCAACAAAGAAATAGCAAAACTTTCAGATGCACAGTTCAAAACACTGGTGATCAGGATGCTCACAGAACTGGTTGATTTTAGTCACAAATTAGAGAAACATATGAGAGCTAAACTAATTGAAATGAATGGTAATGCAAAGAATACCAATAGTAATGGAAAGGAGTCTGGGACTCAAATCAATGGAGTGGACCAGAAAGAGGAAAAAAATGACCAAACAGAAAAGAATGAAGAAACAAGAATTCAAAGGAATGAGGAGAGGCTTAGGAACCTTCAGGACATCTTTAAACATTCCAACATCCGAATTATAGGGGTACCAGAAGGGGAAGAAGAACAGCCACTCGTGGAAAACTTATCTGAACAAATAATAAAGGAGAACTTCCCCAATCTGGCAAAGGAAATAGACTTTCAGGAAATCTAGGAAGCTCAGAGAGTCCCAAAGAAGTTGGACCCAAGAAGGAACACACCAAGGCACATCATCATTACATTAGCCAAGATTCAAATGAAGGAGAGAATCCTAGAAGCAGCAAGAGATAAGGGGACAGTCACCTACAAAGGAGTTCCCATCAGACTCTCAGCTAATTTCTCAAAAGAGACCTTACAGGCAAGACGGGGCTGGAAAGAAGTATTCCAAGTCATGAAATCCAAAGACCTACAGCCAAGATTGCTCTATCCAGCAAAGCTTTCATTTAGAATGGAAGGGCAGATAAAGTGCTTCTCAGATAAGATCAAATTCAAGGAGTTCATCATCACCAAGCCCTTATTATATGAAATGTTAAAGGGACTTACCTAAGAAAAAGAAGATAAAAAATATGAGCAGTGAAAGGACCGCCAACTCACAGTTATTAACGACCACACCTAAATCAAAAGCAAACTAAGAGGACAGCTAGATCAGGAGCAGAACCATAGAAATGAAAATCACATGGAGGGTTAGCAAGAGAGGAGTGGAAGAAGGAGAAGGGGGGAGAAGGTACAGAAAATAAGTAGCATAGACGGTAGGTAGAAAATAGATAGAGGGGAGGGCAAGTATAGTAGGGGAAATATAGAATCTAAAGAACCGGAGACACATGGTCATAAACTAAAGGGGGGGGGAAGGTGGGGGAGGGGTGTGCAGGGTTGAGGGGAATGAAGGGGGAAATAGAACAACTGTAATGGCATAATTAATAAAATATATTTTTAAAAAACTTTTGATAATCTTTTTAAAAACTAATTAAAAAAAAAAGAAACTCTCCCTAATTTTCTACCTCAGTTGCCTACAAAACACTTCATATACAAGCATATTTTATATCCCAGTTAAAATGTTAAAGAGCCACACAATAGATGGTTGGGCTGATTAAATGACTATTACAAAAAACCATGAAGAAACTTTTTAGAATGGAAAATTTTCTTTTATCTTGATTGTGCTGCTAGTACAAGAATATTAGTCAAAAGTTTCTGAACTGGACACTTACAATGCATGTATTTTATTATATGTAAATTATATTCCAATAAAGTTGATTTTTAAAAACTATCATTATCCAGATACAATAAGTAATTAGAAAGGAACATTTTACATACAGTACCTACAAATTCCACAGTTTTCACAATGGTACTGCTTCTTGTCCTTGTCAAACAGATGGCATATACTGCAGTAATATTCTCCAAACAACGTGCTACATTCTTCACAAGTCTGTTGGGCCTAAAAAAAAAGGTACATATAATTAAAAATTGGGATAAATTTACCAAAACATTTTGATTTACTATTTTTTAAAGATTTTATTTATTTATCTTTAGAGGGGAAAGGAAAGAGATAGGGAGAGAAATATCAATGTACGGTTGCCTCTCATGTGTCCCCTGCTGGGAACTGGCCTGCAATCCAGGCATGTGCCCTGACTGGGAATCAAACCACGATACTCTGGTTCGCAGGCCCGCGCTCAATTCACTGAGCTACACCAGCCAGGGTTGAATTACTATTTGAATATCCAGAATTTATGTTAAAGTGTATGCAGTTTTATTTTAACAAGTTTTTAAACCTTTTAAATCAAAGATATTGCCTACTTTGAGAGTTTTCTCAATTGAATTTTTAAACCAGTAAACATTTTTTTAAAATAAAGAAAATAGAAATGTGGTAAAATCTTACATGTTGAATTTTTTCACAGTTTATGCACTGCACTTCCTTTACTTTAAAGCGATCTAGCTGATGATCTTCCTTGTTATCGTGACACAACCGGCAAGTATACAACTTGTCACAGCAAGGTGCCTAATGACCAGGGGGGGAGAAAGAGTTAAAAGAAGCAAGAGAAGACAAGCTGGCAATGCAAAATGAAATCTTCTACCACCTCCTCCTCCTCCTGGAACAAGGTCAAAAACTGCAACCAATGGATTTGTTGGGAAAGCTGATCCTAAGCATAACATCTCACTATCCTTGGTATATTTTAACTATTCTCTTCAACACTTATATGTCTGTATGAAATTGAACACAACCTTGTCCTTAACGAGAAAACAATCACGATGAATAGAAATCCCTAGACTGTAAAACTAATCCTGCAACACCCTGAACACATTCTTAGTCTAAATGGCAAGCCACCAACTTCTTCATATGGACATTTCCAGATAAATTTATTTACTTACTCCAGTCCCTAAACATTAAATATTGTAAAGATTATATTTTAGTTCACCTGTGTTTATTAATCAACTATAAGCCTAATGTTTTAGAGGATACAATGTATGTGACAAATAGTCCTTGTTTTTGAGAGTGGCAAAGACTGCCAGTTGCCCACCAAAATTTGTTCCCTCCTTCCTCCTGGGTACAATTGCCCAGCTGTACTACAGTTCCCAGCCTTCCTTGCTGTTAGTTGTGGCCAAAGGACTAAGTTCTTACCAACAGAATATGAGCAGAACACATCAGTGCCACTCCTGGGTCTGAATATTAAGAAACTAGGCATGACTCCTCCTTCATGCTCCCTTTTCCCTTTCCGTACGATGAAACCTGGACTTGGCAGTAACCCAGCTGATGACTACATGTCCTAAAACATGGCAAAATAACACAATGGAAAAAACTGTTCCTGGAGTGATCATTCATTTTGGAATTGTAAATAGAAAAAAATAAACTCATTATTCTTTAACCGACCTTACTGTTGAGACCTTTCATTATAGCAATGTTGCCTTACCCTAAGCAGTACATTAAGACATTGCCAGGCTACTAGACAACCCAGTACTTCCCAGTACACTATGACCTTTTAGCTCCACTCATTTCTGAAGAAATGCCATTTACTTACCATAATACAGCTCACTCCTTGAAGACTTTAACTCTCAACTGGCTGCCTTTCTCTCTAACATTCTCTTGCCCTAAATCTTAGTGATTTGCATACCCACAATGATATCCTTCCAATACCATGAACTTTCAATTCCTTGACTTTCTCACTTCCAATGGCCTTGTCCTCCAACCTCCTCAGCCACATATACTCAGTCACACTCTGTAACAGTGGTTCTCCAACATTTTGGTCTTAGGACCCTTTTACACTCTTAAAAATGGAGTATCCCTTAGAGCTTTTATGTGAATTATATCTATTGATACCATATTATAAATTAAAACTGACAGGTTTTAAAAATATTTACTTTGAAAATTAATAGTAACAAATCCACTACATCTTAACATAAATGACAGTGTAATGAAAATAAGTTGTATTTCCCCCCAAAATAGCTGGATTCTGTTTTGCTTCTATATTCAAACAGTTTTGGTTGAAGTCTATGAAGAAATTTTGCACTCACACAAATAGGAACTTGGAAAGGGACTACTATCATAGCCTTTTCAGAGAATTATAGATACTTGTCTCTGATGCTACATCAAAACTCAACAACTCTTCCAAATGGTTGGTTACAACATGGTCTCTGACATCACATCAATAAAATTTTCCCCTGTTAAATTAAAACCCATTGACCTATCTTGAACTTTGAATGTATCTTTTGCTCATGCATTGATCATTTGGAAAGTATCAGTTCGCCAAATTATGTATGCTAACATATTTGACATGCAATATCAAAAAATCAAATTTGTTAGAATTTGAACCTCATCAGAAAATTATTTAGGTATTGGGAAGTATTCAAGCTCACAGGAGCTGAGATCAAACTCCACTTTGTACATGAAAACTCAAATTTTATCACTGTTGGTTGTTTTCCTTGTAATGACAGTCTCACTTCCCTTTTTGAGAAAATGTCCTCCAAATACTCAAGCTTCAATAACCATAGTTCAAGTAAAAATATGCTGTACAATGAAAAATGCAAATAGTTCATTCATAATTCAAATACACAACAGCTTTTCCTCACACCAAACTACCTAATTTCAGTTTGCAGAAGTGGCTGATGAAAACATCCCATTTCATCAAACACGTAAAAAGATGTATTCAAGGGATAAGATTTTATAAAATCTGTAATTCTACTGCTTTAATTTTATCAATGAGATTCTTAAGTGAACCTGGCTTATTTTATTTTAATTAACTGTAGGTGTAGCACAGTTCAGTGCCACTGCCTTGCTTCCTGCTATGGTTCGAGAAGCTTTAATCATTATTTTTGCGCATACAAAAAAAATAAATAAATAAATAAATAAATGCCTTAGTATCATTATGAGAAAGTAGCTTTGACTTTGAGGATCCCCAGAAAGGGCCTCAGGAATCACCAGGGGTCCATTCACCACACTTCCAGAACACTGCTTTAGAACAAGAACTGAATACTATTTGTAACTTAATTTCAAGCACAGACTTTTCTAAACATCTAACTACTCCAGTCCTTCCTTTGTTCCTTCTCTCTTCCTCTACACACTCACCTACCAAGAATTTCAACTGGTTAAATCCAAGTTTCTCCTACTTAACTCATATATGAACAGCTGAATACAGCTAAAGAAAAAGCACTCTAAACTTGTCTCACTTTAAAGTCATAACCGCTAAAAAAACCAGTGAGCTCTTACTACCATGTTTCCCCAGTTACCCTTTCTTCCAGAGTCTAGGACCTGTCTTTAAACCTCGAACACCTCTTCCTCCTTCTTTAGAATCTGCTGATGAATGACCTTGCTTATTTCACTATGAAAACAGTAGAAACAAGGGAATATCCTCCCACAGATTCTACCAACCTACTTACAAATATACTCATAGTCTGTCTTCCCCTCTGTTACAGAACCAATAGTCCATGTTATTATTTAAGGTTAACTCCTCCTCTTGTGCATTGGATTCCATATTCTCTTTGGATACTCAAGGACAGTGCTTCAACAGTTTCCCCCCTCCCTCCTGCATTATAAAATAATTCTCACTTTATTGGGTTATTTCCAAGAAAATACCAACATGCTGCAATTAACTTCCATCTTAAAAGGGGAAAAAATCTCATAAACCCACATCTCCCAGCAACCAGTTTCATATTTTTGTTCTTTTACAACAACACTCCAACAGTTGTCTATAAAGATTGTTACCAGTTCCACTATTCCCATTCTCTTTTGAATCCACACCTCTTATCCCAGTATTTCCACAGGATCACAGTTACCTCCTTGATCAATTTAAAGGTCAATTTTTACTTCTTATCTTACTGAAAAAGGATCCCTTGATTTAATTGATTACTTCTTCCTAAAAACTCTTCAGTTGGCCTCTGGTATTTAAGGAAGACAGAGGAAAAAGACAAAAAAGCATTTGATAACTCAGGGCCCAGTATCTTAGTACTATGAAACACAGATATAGTATCTGCAGCTTCTTGGGGTTTGGAGAGAAGACCAAGATGTTGAATTCAGTTTTAGATATCAAGTTTGAAAGAGTAACAGAACAACTCAGTGGAAATGAAATCATAAGGATAGTATTCAATTCCTTATACAACATTTGAATGACCAACTTTCAAAGAGCTCATTCAGTGCAGCAGAGGAATATTCACCAAACCATGGACTGCAAAAAGGCTTTAGACTGTCCCTAAAGGCCTCACATTCTTATGAAACAGAACTTCTATTACCCGCATTTTAATATGGGGCACTTAAAGGGTAGTTTGCTCAAAATCGCTGCGTTTTTACGGAGCAAAGCTAAGATTTTAGTGTACGGCTGTGCGACTCCGAATCTCAAGCTTTCTAAGCAAAATCTTTAAACTGTTTCTTGCAAGAAAAGTCAGGAAACTTTAATTGGATGGGTGCCAATTTTAAAGTCTAGATTGAGAATTTTTTATTCAATCTAGATCTAGAAATTTTTCTCAAAGTAAACAACAAAAATAACAATATATGCATACCAGGCACTGCCTTTCCATACTTTACTACTTACTGGCAATTATATGACTGTCTTACTATTTCACACATACATTTTCTCCTTGGCAGGTTTGAGCACACTCACTGCCTCTAAAATAAAGCTGGCAAGCCATAAAACTTATCTACTACAGGTGCTGAAATCATAGGCCGAGTCTCTACTTGCTTATCCCTTTTCCATTATTTCATCACAGCCCTGAAAGGGATCCTGGGGAAAAGAAAGCACAGGCCCAAGGCTGCCTCAGCCTACTTCCAGCAACAAAAATCTAGATAAATAAACCCACTCATAAAATTATCATTGTGCAACCCAGGCTCTACCCAAGCACGAAGGGCTGTGCTTGCAAAGTACAAAACATGAGGTAAGGTAGAGCCTGTGGGACCCCTTGCCAAGAACGTTCTCCGCAGTAGGAACCCAGCTCGAGGTGGAGAACGTAGCCTGACAAACAGCTTAACCTCAAAATTCAGCCTAAACTTAACCCCTTCGCCCACCCCGCCTCCAGCCCGGCCCGGCGGAAGCTCGTAGAGGAAGAGCCCAATGAAGTCGTCACCTTCAGGAGACATCCTCTGTCATAGTGCTCGCAGCCCCGCCGCCCTTTCTCTGGGCCTCGGGCGCCATCTTCCCGCACCAAGGCCGCCATCTCCTCTACCTCCCCTTACACTCGAAGGACCCTTCTCCTAGGACGAAAACTACGCACAGAGAAGCAGTGCCGCCCTAGCACACCCCCTCCCGGAGACAGATGCCACCAGAGCCAGTATGGCGACTGAGCACGTGACCCGGGGCAATCGGATTTCCGGTTGACCGGACGGAAGCGAAAGAAGAGGCAATCTCTGTCGTCGATGCCAGTCTTTGCCTTCGCTGCTAACGGTAATAACTCTTAGGTTGCCTCTTCTTTCCCCACCCCATGGCTTCCCGCCCGAACTCTGGCCGTGGTTGGGGTGAGCAGGATAGTAGCAGAGATGCCCGGCGGAGTCCGGCAACCTCCGGGGAAGGGCCCCTCTCGGGCCGGTCCGCTCTACTGACTGGGCGGCCCCTCCCTCTTTCCCTGCGGGAGCTGGGAGCCTCGAGAAAGGGGCGGAGCTGGGCCCGCCTCTGGGCTAAGAGTGATGCCCAGGCGCGCATTCCTTCTGCTGGGCACCCCCGCACTCACTAGTTCCTGGGGCTGCGGTCTTCCTTTTGTCCTCCCCTACCCCTGTACTTGATCAGCATTCCTTGAAAATATGTATTAACATTTACTATGTGCCAGACACCTGCTAGGTCATGGGGACAGTGAGGACGTGCCCCACCGTGCAGTCAGGGAATTCACAGACTAATGGGGTAGACCTCAGAGAATATCTGAAATAAATGTAAGCTTACAACTTTGAGAAGTGCTACAACCAAGTGTGTGGTCTACGGGAGCTAATGCCAGAGGGGATCTGACTTAAATCTGGGAGTCATGGAAGGTTTCCCCGGAAAAGCAACACGAGCTGAAAGTTGAGGATGGGTTAGAATGCCAGGAGGAGGAGTGTGCTAAAGCCCTGTAGAGGGAACGTGGAAAGCAGTGGAAAGGAATTGTACAAACAAGCCCGTGGAATTGAAATCATATGCTTAAGCACGTGCATAGCTAAATATGACTTGCCCTATTAATGAGTCAAGCCCCTGGAAATTTTTATGAGCAAAGCTGCAGGTGTGGGAAGAAAAATTTAGCCTTTGGCTTTCTAGCATGATTTCGCTTAAAATGTACTGAGAAAGGTAAATGTGATCCCCTTAGCTTTGAAGTTTCTAACTCTTAACTTTAATTTTCTTTCAGTTCTGTTATGAGTTGCTAAAATCATGGTGAAATGTTGCTCGGCGATTGGATGTGCTTCTCGCTGTTTGCCAAATTCCAAATTAAAAGGACTGACATTTCACGTGTAAGAATTTGCTGAAGTTAAGCCAAGTACTTTAAAAAGCAAAAAGCAGTTTTACTTAAAATTTCAGTTTTGAACTTTAGTTCCCAAGTTCTTTTTAAATAACTTTTTTTGTTAAATTTGAAGTGACACCGATACCTTTATGTTTTTCTAATTTGGTTTAAAGGTTTAAAATACCTGCCAAGGTATATGGCTGGTTAACAAAAATATCATCAAAGTCATGTTTGCTAGCATTACTTTGCACTTTAACATACCTACAAAGAAATGCAGTGTTTACATGTAGTTTATAATCTGAATGAAGGATCTTTGCCCAAATATATTCTGTCCTTTAATTTTAGAAACAGATCAAGTTTAGGCTGTAGAGAGAAAATATAAATTACAAGTTCAGACCTATAATTCTCGAGCTGTGTTGCATATAAATCATGATTATTCTGTTAGTATTTTAGCCATTCTTTTGACAGTATAAGAAGGAAGGAGCAATAAAATTAATAATTATGCATTTGCTAAAGGTTTATTTTGCTGCTTTTATGCTAGAGAAAGATCTAGTAAGTACTGTGCTTGGTATGAGGAAATCAAAAGTGAATATGTGTCCTCTACCTTATTCTGGGAAGAATATTTCCAGAATAAGCATATTTGAACCAGCTTAGAAAATTAGAAAAGATACAAGGTTTTTGGCCTCTAGATCTCAAAATCTGATCTCAGGAAGGCCAAACTGCAGGTGTTCCCTGCATTCACTCATTAAGCTCTTGCAGACCTGTTGTGTATTAAGTGCTCTACTGAGCAACTTTGTGATACTGACAGAATAAAAGTACCAGGGGCTCTGTTCGGGGATAAATTCTGGATATCACTTCAGATAGGAAAATGCCCAAGTGATGTTCTTTATCATCTTTGGATGAAGACAAACCTTCAGTTGTGGGTATTACTAGAAATTATTAAATATCCTTTGAAACTTTTTTAAAACTACCTATTCTTATGTTTATTATTTATATTCTATACCCTCTTTGGGTTTACTTATTGTTTCTTTTCAAGCTTTTATTTTTTTAAAGATTTTATTTATTTATTTTTAGACACAGGAGAAGGAAAGGAGAGAGAGACAGACAGACAGTCAATTTCCCTGACTGGGAATTGAACCAGCAACCTTCTGGTTCGCAGGCCCATGCTCAATCCACTGAGCTACACCAGCCAGGGCCTGAAACTTTTGTATAACATGAGAAAAATTTAAATGGTGGTCATTAATCTACAGTATGATTGTAGAAAAATCTATTAAAACTGAAAGCATGGATCTTGATTGTTTCTGTAATATTTCCTGAGTAATAACAAACTAGTTAAGGAGTTTAGTTTAGTTACAGCCTTAATTCAAAAATAATATCAATAGTATTTAATTTTAAAATACTTTTTATATTTTTTCCTAGATTCCCCACAGATGAAAATGTCAAAAGAAAATGGGTATTAGCAATGAAAAGACTTGATGTAAATGCCGCAGGCATTTGGGAGCCTAAAAAAGGAGATGTGTTATGTTCAAGGCACTTTAAGAAGACAGATTTTGACAGAAGTGCTCCAAATATTAAACTGAAACCTGGAGTCATACCTTCTATCTTTGATTCCCCATCTCACTTTCAGGTTTGTTTATAAGATACCGCTTACCATCATTATTCACTCTATTGTACTATTAGAGAAGCTTCACCATAGTTGCTTTGAAATCCTTAAGTTTTTAAATACGTAAGTTGCTGCTTCACACTTTGTAACATGAAGTAGGAGTATTTTACAAGTAATATTTTATCTGAAATATTTGTACATTACTAAGGTTTGGTGAAGTGGACTGACCCTAGGAGTTAGCATAACTCAAGACTTGTATCTGAAACAGAGGAACATCAGGGGGTGGACAGTTCTCACACTTGAGCAAAAGTTAAGAGCAGAGCCTCCGTCAGGACCAAAGTATACTTTTAGAGCCACATACATTCAGACTTAAAGCCTAAGTAGGACTGAAAGGAAGAAAACCAAAATGCGATAAGAACAGGAGAATAAGTAGCTAAGAGGTTAGAAAAAGAAAATAACAGGATTGGGTAAGTAAACTCTAGTTGAATTCTGTTTTTTCTCAGTTATATTAGTGCCATGGGCTGGCTGCCTCCTCAATGCCTTTCTTGACTTCACATACCTGGAAGTGTATTTGCTTCCAAAAACTTTAACTGATTCCAATGTGGAACGTTTCATTACAATAGCAGGGAAAAGTATCTCCATCTGGCTGCTGGAAACAAGGGCAGTAGTCCACAGCTGTGAGCTGCGCCCATGCGGTCTTGGTCGCTTTCTGCAGTCATTCCCATTGTGGCACCTGAGTTATCAAATAGAGACTGCCTGGCTTTCTTTCCTATTAATAAATGTGTAGTATCTTGTTCAATTTTCTCTAAAGGTTTTTTCCATATAGTAAGGCGCCATCTATCTGTAATGTTAAGAGGACCTTAAGTAATGTGGGCCTAATAATTCAAATAAAGCCTAAGTTAACTAACTTTCAAAAACTATTTCCTAATCACATAATGTAGAAATAATACTGTTATCACTCCAGTGGGTAGGTTTTCAGTCATTCGTACATGTGTGTTTGTGTATATCCTCTTTCTTATTTGCTTTTGTTTCTTTTTTAAAAAAGAAATTACTTATTGTGTGCCAGGCATCATTCTAAGCACTTCACATATATTATTCATTCATTTAGTCCTAACAACAATCATATGAGATAAATATTATTATTATCCCCATTTTACCATTAGGGGAAACTGAGGGCCAGAGTAAAACAGTCATTAAAAAGGCAAAGGCTGGAATTGAACCCAGGTACTTTGGCTCCAGAGTGTACTCTCAACTACTATTTTCCATGATGTTAAATACAGACTGGGGCAAAAGTAGGTATACAGTTGTTGCGGTGGAAAGTAATACAAAAATAAACTTTCACATACTAACAACTATAAACCTACATTTGCCCTCATCTGTATTTTTTCCCAACAGTGGCTTTCAACTGTTAGCCTACATAAGACTTATCTAGAAGCTTGTTTAAATGCAGAATCCTTTGCCTCTCTTTCACAGAAGTTGATTCAATAAATTCGTGTTAGAGTCTCGGTATCTGCACTTTACAACAGGCACCCCACACGATTGTGTTGCAGATCTGTGGATCACATTTTTAAGGGAATGCTTGTATAGAACATCAATTTTGTAACTGAACTTTACATTTAAGTATAACATACGCAGAAAAGTGCACACATTGTAAGTATATATACACACACACATACATATTGGTGAATTTTCACAAAATGAACACCCTCATGTAACTCCCCTCAGACCAAGGTACAGAATGTTACGAGTGCCCCAGAGGCCTCCCTCACACTCTCCCAACCCTACACCCACAGGGGTAGCTGCCGTCACTGTCAGTGATATAAATGGAGTCATACACTGTATACTCTGGCTTCTTTAGCTTGACACTTTGTGTGGTTCATCCATGTTGTACCATGTGATAGTAGTCTATTGGTTTTGTACTATAATACTCTATTTTATAAGTAAATTATAATTTCCCCACTCAGCTACGAACATCTTAGCCTATGTCTTTTGATAACACTTGTGTACACTTTTTGGAAGAGTATACACACACTTCTGTTGGATGTGGGATTTCTGGGTCCCAGGGATGATGTGTATGTAAGTCGCTGCTATAGGACATAGCTTCCCTCATTATCACTCTTCTTTTTTAGGAGAATTTGTGTTTGTAGATGAACTTCAGAGTAATTTGGGGGAAGTTTCTTTTAAATAATTTCAGTGGAATTTAAAATTTGCTGACTTAACAGCAATTTCCATGAAAAGAAATGTGTTAATTTTACTATAGTTGGAAGGAATAAAAACTTTGAAAGGACAGAAGTATCTACTGTAATTGTTATTAACAATTCTCAACAGGAGAAAAGAGAGAAACTTCACTGTAGGAAAAACTTTACCCTCAAGACCCTTCCCGTCACAAACCACAACCGCCAGCTTGTTGGTGCTTCCTCGTGTAGTGAAGAATTTCAGTCCCAGTTCGTTTTTGTAAGTAGAAGTACTTACTGAGCTAATGTCGGTATTTTTAAGATGAAATTTGCCCTCTCCATTAGTATTAAAACTTTTGAAATTTTATAAAAATAATTAGGTGTTTGAGAATTTTTTTAATCTGTAATATCCAAAAATAATGGTGTTTCTCCAGACAATTATCATGCAATAATAATATAGAGGTAATTAATCCTTCAGAACATATCTAGTTCAGATAATGCTTTCACAAGGATACTTCAACCAAGAAATTACAGTAATTACTTTCTCCCCTTAGGTACTATATTTTTATATGAAAATATCTAATTTAAAAAGTAGTTATAACTTTAGGTTTTAAAGAACAGTCATACACATGCAGAGTAGTTAATCCTGCATTCACTTATTCGTCTTAATGTCTGTTCATATTAGAATCAGGCCTGGAGTCCAAATCTCTTTTACTGCCTCGATTACTATAGCTTTATAATAATTCTTTAAATCAGGTGGCCTTCCAGCTTCATTCTTTTTCAAGGTTGCTTTGGATATTCTGTGTTCTTTGCATCTTATTTTATGAATTTTAGAACCACTTTATAAATGTCTACCAAAAAGCCTGCTAGAACTTTGACTGGCATCGTGTTGCATCTCCAGCTTATTTGGGAGGAATCGTCATCTTAATAAGACTAATTTAAGTCTTTCAACCCATGAACGGACTATATCTCTTCATTTATTTAGGTTTCTAACTTTTCTCAGCAATGTTTTATAGTCTTCAGCGGACAGATCTTTCACTTCATTTTCATAAATGGTATTGTTTTATTTACTGCTACTATATGGAAGTACAATTGATTTTTATGTATTGATATGGTATCTGGAAAACTTACCAAATTCACATGTTAATTATCAAAGCTTTTTGTAGAAGCTATCAGATTTTCTACATCATAGTGTGTGTCATTAAAAGGTTTTTTAATTTTTTCTTTAAATATGAATAACTTTCATTTCTTTTTCTTGCTTTGTTGTACTGCCTTGAACCAAGGGCTACATGCCAAATAGAATTACTAACAACTAATCTCTGTGCCTTGCTACTATTTCATTTTCAATTTTTATTTATTGATTTTAGAGAGAGAGAAAAAAACATCGCTATGTTGTTCCACTTAGGCATTCACTGGTTGATTCTTGTATGTGCCCTGACCAGGGGTCAAACCTGCGACATCGGCCTCTTGGGATGATGCTCCATCCATTTGAGCTCCTTGCCCACAGCTTCATGCTTTGCTAATTTTAAGAAGAAAACATTCAGTCTTTTACTATTAAAGACATTAATATAATATTAACTATAGTTTTTTGTAAATGCCCTTTATCAGGTTGATGACATGCCTTTCTATTCCTAGTTTGCTGAGAGTTTTTATCAGAAAATAATGTTAAATTTGACAAATGATTCTTTTGTATCCATTGAGAGATCATATTGTTTTTCTTTTTAGGTTGTTAATGTTTAGTTATATCAATTGACTTTTCAGTGTTAAACCAGACTTGCATTGCTGGAATAAACCCTACTTCTTAATGATGCATTTTGTCTTGTATATATTATTGGATTTGATTTATTGAAATTTTGTTTAGAATATTTTCTTATATGTTCAAGAGTGATATTGGCCTGTAGTTTTCTTTCCTTTTAGAGTTTTTGTCTGGTTTCAGTATCAGAACAATGCTGAACTCAAAAGAATGAGTTAGAAAATATTGGTTTTTTTTAAAATTTTCTTGAAGAGTTTGTATAGAATTGGAATTATTTCTTCTATAAATATTTGGTAGAATTCCCTAACAAAGCTATCTAGGCCTGGAGTTTTCTTTGTGGAAAAGATTGTTTGGTAACTTGTATTTTCCAAGAGATTAATTTATTTTATGTCACTTGTCATGTTTATTAGCTTAAAATTGTTCATAATATTTCCTTATTATCCTTTTAATATCTATAAGATCTATAGGGATATCTCATTTATGATATTGGTAATTTGTTTCTATTCTCTTGTATTACTGATCAGTCTGCCTAGAGAGTTATCAGTTTTATTGATCATATCAAATAACTAGCTTTCATTTTCTCACTTGTTTTTGTTGTCTTTGTTTCTTACCTCACTGATCTCCACTCATCTGTGTAATTTCATTTCTGCTTATTTCAGTAGAATCTTGTCATCTTTCTCGTGTCTTTAGCTGGAAGCTGAGGTCATTGATTTGAGGCTTCTTCCTTTCTGATATTGGTATTTAGGGATATTAATTTTCCCCTGAGTATTGCCTTAGCAGCATTCCACAAATTAAATGTTATTTTTAAATTTTTATTTAGTTTAAAATTCTTCCAAATTTAATTTTGATTTGTTCTTTGCCCCATGTGTTTAGAAATTTGCTTATGTAGCTTTCAAACATTGAAGAATTTTCAAGATGTGTTATTAATTTCTAATTCTGTTGTGGACAGAGAATATACATTACATAGTTTGAATGCCTTTACATTTTTTGAGGCTTATAGCCCCGAATATGATCTATCTTGGCAAATGTCCTCTGTGGATTTGCAAAGAATGTATGTTCTGCTCATGTCAGCTACAATGTTTTATAAATGTCAGTGTGATCAAAGTGTTTGATAATGTTGTTCAAGTCTTCATCATTACTAAATTTCTGTCTATTTGTTCTATTATTGAGAGAGAGGTGTTCAATCTTTTAGTATAATTACAGATTTGTCTAATTCTTGCAGTTGTCAGCATTTGCTCCTTATATTGTGCAGCATTGTTATTAGGTACTAAATATTTAGTAGTATTGTAGCTTGATAAATTAACCCCTTAATTAAAAAATTACTGTCTTTATTTATGGTAATATCCTTTGTCTGAATCTACATTGTCCAATAGTAATATACCCACTGTAGGTCTCTTTTTGTTAATGTTATCATAGTATATCTTTTCCCACTCCTTTACTTTCAACCTATTTGTGTCTTTTTGTCTCTGAAGTACATTTTTTATAGGCAGCATATGCTTTTGGTTCCTGAATTTTTTTAATATAATGTGATAATTTCTGCCTTTTAATTGGGTTATTTAAACCCTTTACACTTAATATGATTATTGATATGGTTTGTTTTAGGAATCTTGCTAACAAGTAATCTGTAATCTTAGTTCCCTATTTTTTCTATTTATATTATTTGTTCCCATTTTCTTCATTTTCTGTTTTTTATTGAGGGGGGATTAATTTAATTATTTTATGATTCCATTGTATAACCCTCCTTTTTACTTTTACTCATTACCTATAACTATTTTATTTTAATAGTTACTTTTAGGTCTATAGCATCCATCTTTAATTTGTCACAGGCTACATGATAAGTGATATTAAGCTACTTAACATTTAGTATAAGAATCTTGTAATAATATACTTTTATTTCTCCAACCTTTGTGCTGTTGTCTGTCATACATTTCACTTTACATATGAACCCCACAGTACGTTATTATTACTTCGTTGAAATAGTAAAATATCTTTTAAAGAGATTTAAATAACAAGAAAAAAATCTTTTATATTACCCACAAAGTAGCCATTGCCAATGGTTTTTATTCCTTTGTTTTAGTCCACATCATTCTGTCTGTCTTTAACATTTCTTATAGTGTGGCTATGCTGGTGATAAATTCTTTCAATTTCTATATGTCTTCAAAAAGTCATTATTTAGTCTTTTTTTTTTGAAACATGTTTTCACTAGTTTTTAAATTCTAGGTTGACACTTTTGAAGTTCGTTGATTTTAGTTCTTTAAAGATGTTGCTACTCTGTATTCTCACAAATACTGTTTCTAATGACAAATTTACTGTCATACTTTATCCTCTTTACCTACATTTCTTTCTTTGCTTTTAAGAATTTTTCTTTTTCACTGTTTTTGAATAATTTGATTATGGTATACCTTGGTTTAGTTTTCTACACGTTTCTTGTGCTTGGGATTTGTTAAGCTGCTTTATGTGTGGGTTTATAGTGTTTATCACACTTGGAAATTTTTTGGCTTGATTTCTTCAAATATTTCTTTAACCTCAACTTTTCTCCTTCTCCTTTGGGGAATCTAATGACATGTGCACTAGGCTGTCTGAAGTTGTGCCACCACTTACCAATTCTCTGTTCATTGTTTTACATACTCCCTTTTCTTTCTGTAGTCCATTCTGGACAGTGGCTATTGCTATTTCTTCACCTTCAGTAGTCTTTTCATCTGAAATGTCTAATCTGCTGTTAATTCCCTCCAAAATATTTTTCACCTCACACCTTATATAGTTTTTATTTCTAGATGTTCTATTTGATTTTTTGCATATTTTTCACGTCTCTACTTAACTTTTGAACATATAGAATACAGTTTTAATAACTTTCTCAGTTCCCTTGCCTACTAATTCTAACATGTGCATCAGTTCTTGGTTGGCTTCTGTTGATTGGTTATATCGTATTGTGGCTCATATTTTCCTGCTTCTTTGATGCCTGGTAAGTTTTGTGTGCCACACATTGTAAATTTTACTTAGCTGGATGCTGGATAGTTTTGTGTCCTATATTCTTGACTTCATTCTGGGATATAGTTAAGTTATTTGGAAACAGTCTGATCCTTTCAGGTTTAACTTTGGTAGGCAGGACCCGAACAGTACTCAGATGTTTTTGTTCCCCACTGCTGAAGCAAGACCCTTCTGTATACTCCATGCTCCATGAATCAATCCTGATGCTTTCTCATCTGGCTGGTGGAAGCATGGCTGTGCCCTGTGAGCCCAGTGCCCTCCTGATCTTTTCTGGTCATTCATTCTTCAGCCTTGAGCAGTTTCCCACACACATGCTCTGATACTACTCAGAACGATATTGTGGGGGAAGAGGGGGAGCGTCTGTGGATCTCCAGAGTTCTCTCTGTGCAGATCTCTCCTCTCTAGTCTTTGTCCTGTGAACTATAACCACCTTAGCGTCCCTGGATGCTTTGCACTATCTTTTCAACTCTGTTCACCAAGCTCTGCCTGTGTTTCCCCTCCCTGCACTGAGACCTATAATCTCTCTCAAGCGAGTGAGCCACAGCGGGCGATCAGAGGGCCCTCTCTTTGTTTCCCCTGTCTCCACCATTGCTTCCTTCCTTGCCTGCTGTTCATTATCTCAAAATGTTTTTAGGTGGGAGTTACTCCAGTCTCTGTTATTTCTGGCTGGAAGCAAAAGTCTTCCTCACTAATTTTCATATTAAATAAAAAGCTTTTCAAAATTATTTTATAGTACCTTTATACATGTCAGCATTATTTTCCCTGTTTTCACATTTTAAAAAGGTATACCCAGAAAACATAAGTATAATAATAATTATCTCTTCAAAAATTCAAGGCCAGAGTCCTCTCTAAACCCGTCACACCCAGCCCGAGTACCTGCTTCAATCAGTGCTCCCTCCCTTATAAAGTCAAATATTCATCAAAATAAAGTAACTCAGTTACAAGTTTAAGAATGGAAATTTGTTTTATAGATAAAACTTAAACTTCGCAGCCCCACACTTAGGGAACGAAGGCTGTGTAGCCATTGTGAGTAGCATGGTGTTCGTAAGCAGATACCTACCTCTGAAGGAGAAGCGCGTCCCACACAAGGATTGTGCGCTCCTCACCTCCACCTAGGCTTAGCGCCGAGGAAGAGGCCCCAGGCACCTGGAACAGTGCTGCCGCCCTCAGCCTCTCCTTATGTTCTCTAAACCTTCTACTGGCACCAACTTGGAGACCTTCTCTCAGCACAGTCAGTGGAGAAATAGCTGAGCCTAGTTTTATAAGCGTTTAGGTCCTTGTCTGTCTGGTTTACTAACTTGGTGTTTATGTTTTTAGGAACATAGCTACAGTGTAATGGACAGTCCAAAGAAACTTAAGCATAAATTAGATCATGTGATCAGCGAGCTAGAGGATACCAAGAAAAGTCTGCGGAATGTTTTAGACCGAGAGAAACGTTTCCAAAAATCACTGAGGAAGACAATCAGGGAATTAAAGGATGAATGTCTCATCAGCCAAGACACAGCAAATAGACTGGAAGCTTTCTGTTGGGAGCACTGTCAGGAGAGCATAGAACGAGACTGTATTTCATGAAGTAATCTTGTGTTATGTTCTGCCTAAAGTTGACATCGGTACGGCTTTTTAGAAAGTAATTCTTATTTATTGTCTTTAAACAATATCCATCATTTAGAGGGCCTCTTTGGATCCTCTGCAGCATTATGCTTTATAGTTGTTATCCAAAGACCTTTTTTTTGAAGACATGCAGAAATATGGGCTAGTTATCATGTTTTTGTGTGACTTGTGACAATTATGTTTTTATAGATCTAAACTAGTGTCAGGTCACTATTGTAAGGTATTGAAAGATGGAGAAAATTTCTCAGGACTAAGGAAGTCATATCAAATCAGCCATGGTAAGCTGTAGTAGTGGGGCACTTCTTCAGCAGCATCAGACTTTTGACTTCAAAGGAATACTTTCATCATTATTTGCTTAGGTACTCCTTATGGTAAATGTGTCAAACTATACTTTTTGTTGAATTGTACTTTAAATGCATCTTACTTCATTTATAACAATGTCAATCTTGAGTCCAATCCAAGGTGCTTTTGTTATCAGTAATACCAAACAATACAAGACACCCTATGGTACTGACCCTGAGAGCAGCATATGGTGCAGAACTTCTGGCTTTTAAAGTTGTCCAGAGACAAGCGCAGTTTTCCAGTGTAGAACACTATTCTTCCTCACTAGGAGCACTTTGACGTTTACCTGCATGGCTTTAAACATTTTTAGAAAGGATGATAAGTCTGATTTTTTAAATAGCTAGTTACTCAGACACTTCTGAACATTTAGTTTTATGACTGTTTCATCATAAAGATATATATTCAGAATCTGAATGCCAGTGCCAGATGAATACTTTTAATGCTGCTTTGTATTTTACAGAAAGTATTGTAATATTGCTGACATTTTAGAAAATACAAAATGTAGAAGAAACCATTAAAAATAATAATGTGGCTCTTCCAGTTGAAACAGGAATTGTAGAAAAGGTTACACTATTTTTCTCTAACTAGAAGAGTAGATTATCATCCACGAGCTTTTATTTAGCAAAACAGGTAAGAAAAACAGCAGCTTTAGAATAGTTTCTTACTGAATATGCAGATAATAACTCTTGGCTATTTTCTGATTGAGCCAACTATCAGAAATTTTGGTTTTTTTCCCCCAATTTCTTAGAAAAAGCAACTGAAATTAAGAGTCATAAATACTGTGGATTAGAATAAAATTTACTAGCCCAAAGTCCAATTCTGCTTTGAAGCATATGTACATATATGGGTCTCATTCAGACATTTATGCTATAATAGTTAGAATTTGAGTATCAGTTGTTTCAGTGTGTTAACTAGAAATGAAGTGCATTTTGTGCTAAAATGTTCATTATACTTTTATTTGTGTTATATTAATTTCAGTAAGGATACATGGTCCCTTGAATTTCTTATATTTAAGAATTTTTTGTTTTGATGCATGTTATGTTTTTTATGTAGGATTTCAAACCTGCCTTCTGAATGGGGTTTTACCCACATTTGAGAGATCAGCATTATGCTAACAAATCACTAAGGTCATATATTTTTACTATCTTAAATAAAACTCATTAGCTACCCATTATTTATTTATTTAATTTTGAACTCATAATGGACACTCTAAATAAGAAATTTGGGTACGACCTTAGGTTTTATGGATATTTTGTGATAGAGATGAAAAATTTTTCCCTCACCTTATTTTTGAGTATAAAAATTAAAGTCAAAGGACAATGGAGGAAAGTAAAAGGATAGATCCAAAACAGTGTGTCCAAATTCCAGCTCTCTACAGGTTGCTTAGAATAAATCAAGCCTGGGAGACCTTTGCAGAAGTCAAGCCCCAGCTTCTGCCACTCTCACAGTTGCCGTTCACTTTTACTACTTGTGTTCACAGTGATTGTAGCCCTTATGTTCTTTTTCACTGTCACTGAGAGAGAGAACTGTAGGAAAAGTATTGGTCCCATCAGTGACCTGGAGCTACCCAGTTGCTCTTTATTTTTATGGAGAAATGATTAGCAATAGAAACATGACACAACAAACAAGGTCCTCCCCACCTGCCGCCCCAAACCAACTTGAACAGCATGTGTACCTCAGTCCACTGTTCCCAGAGAACACTTCTTAGCCTGGGGTGGCACTGTCCTGTGCAGAGCAAAAGCAATCATTCCTCATCCAGAGGTTCCTCAAGCAGCCGAGGCCAACCTAAGGGTTTCACTTTGCTTTAAAGCTTGGAGTGGCCTCTGGATTCTGGAACAAACAATATACCGGTTCAGCCTCAGCACCAAATCAGGTACGAAGGACCTGACGGGACATTTTCTCCATGTCGGGTTTCAGTCTTTAGACTTTGGTTGCTAAAGACAGTCACAGTTATATCATACTCTTTAATCTGAGGAAAGATGTATCAAAATATATAGTTTTAATAAAAAGGTAAAATTTTGGGACAACTTACAGAATAACAATAAAAATGATTTTTAAAATATATAAAAAAGCAAAACAATAAAATATTAATAAGCATTTAAAAAGATAAAATTATTACAGAAATAATTGGGATGAAGAATTCATTACATGTTTAAAAAATAAAATATTTTCTTTAGTAATGTGCTCTGTGTGGTTTTTATACATTTAGTTATTCAGTAAAATAAACAGAAAAGTAAGAGTTTATATACAATGATTTTGCTTTAATTTTTCTACATTTTTCCCTCCACCAAGATCTCCAGTATCATAGGAGTCTGCCAGGTTAGATGTCCCAAGTGGCAGGCCTGCTTCCCCCGCCACGTGGACCAACCACAGAGCCCTTTCCTGCTCTGGGCCCCACTGAGAACAGGCAGCCTTTCACGTCACCCAGTGTAGAAAGCGGTACTCTTCGGTACAAAATACGCTGCCCTCAAAACCCAACGAGGCCTGTTAAGCATTGTGCTTTCCTCTTCATAGTGAGATGCCAGTTGTACGAATGTGTCTTGTACTTCAGTGGCGATGTCGTAGCATGCCCTGATCGCCGGACACTCCCCCCAAATTTTCCTGACATGGGCCCTGATGCCTTTCTCCTCAATGTGCGCTATTGTATAGATTGTATTGTATAGATGACAGATTTCATACCACAATGTCTTAAAACCTAAGTGTCTGAGCCTCATTTAGTCTCATTAATTTACCTGAGGCACATAAAGAAGTTTATAGACTAATATAATTAATGTACTAACCCATTTCGTGTAGTATTTTCAAAGCCTCATACACCATTGTGAGGAATACAAAGATGAGGCATTCATACCTACAGGGACACACAAGTATATAACAAATACAGAGAAGTGGGCAACTGGCAGAACTGTGGCCATTAAAGAGGGCACTGAGATTATGCAATTACCAGAGCCTCAAAGTTCCTTTTAAAGTTCTGTCCTAGGACCTGGATTCTGTTAGCACCCTCCTTGGATGTGACAAGTCACTAAACCACCTAGGAGAGAACCAAATAGACCTAGGCTCCAGTGCCAAACCTGCCTTTTTATTATGTATGGAACCCAGGCTACGTTAACTGAACCTCTCTAAGCATTTACAAGGTGGACAATACTTTCCTCACACACTTGTATGAGAATTGCATGAGTTGTATTTAATTCTCTGCAAAACATAAGGCCATACAATGAGCCCTCTGTATATTGTTTTTCTTCCTTCAAATCCCATGCCAAACATAACAGGAAGATGGGCAAAAGTAAGGGGGAAATACGTTTGACGGAACCACAATGGTACAGGCAACAGTAGCCGGGTCGGCTGTTTGTGCCTTGACCGTCTCCCTCTGTGGCAGCTCAAGAGCAGGGGAAGGAACACTCTCCAACTGAAAGAGAAAACTTTAATCATCATCCTCTCCATTTTCCCAATCTCCATCCTAAAAAGCCATTGACTCCATCGTAGATATATCTTTCATTCATTCATTCATTCATTCACTCATTTATTCGACTTCATAAAGCACGTTAGATAATGCTACTCAAAATATGGTTCACAGACAAGTGTTCAAGTTAAGGAGCTTGCACCAGAATGTAAATCAGCTACATCTGGAAGCACACACACTGTTTAGTTCAGTCAACATTTTTTTCATAGCAAGACTTTCTCAGTGAATAAAACAGTGTGTTGATTTACATTCTGGAACAAACACCTTATTCCATTCTAGACCAGTAAAAAAGAGTTCACAGGGCAGCAATTTTGAATAACACTGTCTCAGAGTATCTAGTCATGAATTATGTCTCTGAATTAATCTCAGCTCACTGATTTGTGGACAGTTGACAGCAGAAGAGTCACCAACAGATTGGTGTCGGATAACAAACTTCCCAAACATTTGTGATAGATAGAGCTCGGGCAGTTGAAGGATAACATCACATCCAACTCAGCAGATCTGGGCCTCATGCTTTTGAAAACACAAGTGTTTTATTCAACAGAAATAGTGAAGTGTACAGGCTGCTCAGAATGCTAACCACAAATACTGGTGATGAGCACCTTGTGGAGATGGGCATTCCTCTGCAGACTTGCCATCAAACTACTCAGCATACAATTTAGCTGGAAATGAAGGGTCCTGGTATTTATGGAAGAGAGAGATAGTGTAATGGCACAAAATGTTGCCAGGTTATGCAACAAATGTTCAGAAAATTATTTCTGAGATCCTGAACATTTCAAACAATATTTTCATTGCCACTCTCACTATGACACTTGTACATGATGAGTCTTGAGAATTGAGAATGTTTGAGGTGCACATTTCATTTTTTTGTGGCCATCACCATTATCTGGCCATTTTGTGGAAAAGATGGGGGATAATTTTAACCAGCATTAAATTGTGGCTATCCAAAAAATCAAAAAAAACTCCCATAAGGACTGGAATTTTTTAAAAAATGTTAACCCTCACCCAAGGATATGTTTATTGATTTTTAGAGACAGAGGAAAGAGGGAGGGTGGGAGGAGGATGGAGAGACAGAGAGAGAGACACCAATGTGAGAGACAATCACCAATCAGTTGCCTCTTGTACATGCCCTGACCAGGAATCAAACCTGCAGCTCTTTGGTGTATGGGATGAACGTTCCAGCCAACTGAGCTGCCCAGCTAGGGTGGGACTGGAAAATTTCAGAGTAAAATGAAACTATATAATTAATATTTTGGCTACTTATTTTTAAATGTACCTTATTGCACAGGAACTTTGCATGTGCCCGAAGAGGGCAATGGGAGGATTGTTCGTCAGAGAAGAAAATGGAAAGCAGCCCAAATTCCATCCAATGGTGAATGGATCAATAAAACTATGGTGCACCCATATAAGGTTGTAATCAACAATTCAAAAAAAAGATATCAATCTGCATGTATTGGTATGAAGAGAAAAAGACATTTTAAGAGAGAAGAAATAATTTAGATATGAACTCAAAATATCCTGTTTAAATAAAAAAATTGTAATCCACCACAAAACAATTTCTAATTGTGTATGTGTATAAATATATAGAAAAAGGAATTGAAGGATATCTTCACGCACATAAACCAGTGAAGGAGTGAGCAGTGAGATGGACCGAGCAGGCCCCAGTGGTGGAAAGTGGCAGAGGGGACCGCCATTGCCCCTCTTTGACCCCGCCCCCACATACAGCAGCACAAACCAGCAACCCGGGTGGCCCCGCCCTGGTGAACATCTAAGGCTCCACTCCTCATATATAACAGGCACGAACAGATCAAAACATTATGGCTCAAGAACTCAAAGCTCCAGAGCCGATAACTCTTAAGTGACCAAGAAAGAGCCAACCTATCAGATGCACAGTTCAAAACACTGGTTCAGCGATCAGGATGCTCACAGAACTGGCTGATTTTAGTCACAAATTAGAGGAACAAATGAAGGCTAAACTAATTGAAATGAAGGGAAATGCACAGGAAACCAATAGTGATGGAAAGGAAACTGGGACTCAAATCAATGGAGTGGACCAGAAGGAAGAAAAAAAATGACCAAATAGAAAAGGATGAAGAAACAAGAATTCAAAAAAATGAGGAGAGGCTTAGGAACCTTCAGGACATCTTTAAAGGCTCCAACATCCGAATTATAGGGGTACCAGAAGGGGAAGAGAAAGAGCAAATGGAAAACTTATTTGAACAAATAATAAAGGAGAACTTCCCCAATCTGGAAAAGGAAATAGACTTCCAGGAAGTCCAGGAAGCTCAGAGAGTCCCAAAGAAGTTGGACCCAAGAAGGAACACACCAAGGCACATCATCATTACATTAGCCAAGATTAAAATGAAGGAGAGAATCCTAGAAGCAGCAAGAGATAAGGGGACAGTCACCTACAAAGAAGTTCCCATCAGACTGTCAGGGGATTTCTCAAAAGAGACCTTACAGGCAAGAAGGGGCTGGAAAGAGGTATTCCAAGTCATGAAATCCAAAGACCTACATCCCAGATTGCTCTATCCAGCAAAGCTTTCATTTCAAATGGAAGGGAAGATAAAGTGCTTCTCAGGTAAGATTGAATTCAAAGAGTTCATCATCACCAAGCCCTTATTATATGAAATGTTAAAGGGACTTATCTAAGAAAAAGAAGATAAAAAAGAAGAACAGTGAAAGGACAGCAAACTCACAGTTACTAAGAACCACGCCTAAAACAAAAGCAATCTAAGAGGACAGCTAGATCAGGAGCAGAACCATAGAAATGGAGATCACATGGAGGGTTAGCAACAGGGGAGTGGGAGGAGAAGGGGGGAGAAGGTACAGAAAATAAGTAGCATAGACGGTAGGTAGAAAATAGATAGGGGAGAGGGCAAGAATAGTAGAGGAAATATAGAATCTAAAGAGCTTGAGACACATGGTCATAAACTAAATGGGGGGAGTGGTGGGGGACGGGGTGTGCAGGGTGGAGGGGAATGAAGGGGGGAATAGAACAACTATAATGGCATAATCAATAAAGTATATTTAAAAAATTATAACAATAGCAAATCTATATATTTAAACAAAAACCACTTCCCCTCTGAATAATTAATGGGTGCTTGTCATCATTACCCTCACCATCTCCTTGCAATGTTGGCTAAAGCTGGATCCAGGTCTTGAATCGCTACATTTCCTGTGCAACTTGGATATTTCAAAGAATGCTCCCAAACCCCTGCCAGCTTAGCTATTGACATTTACAGACACCACTGCCTGGGTAGGTGTAGTTGCAGATTTTAGTTTTCCTACCCAGAACCACACCTACCCAGACCCCTAAAAAAGAAAAACCTGTCCTCATCCCCTGCTGAGAACTTTCAATACAGCTTTCCAACTGCCTCAGTACCTCAAAAAACTAAAAAACGTGACTCCGAAGTACTGATATCTGACAAGCGTGGCACACTCTGATAGAGCTTTCCACAATTTCATAAATCCTCATATTTCTGCCTTTTCTTTGTTTTATTTCAGATGCCCAGGTTCTAGAGAAAATGTTTGTCTGAGGCAGAAAATTATTAATTTTCAGTAATAATAATAGCTAACATTTACAAGGTGCCAATTTCTATTCCTAGTGCTTAAATGTTACCACCAATTCATTTTACTCACAATAATCCTATGGGCTAGGTACTATTATCATCCTTGTTTTA